ACCCCCTCCACCCCCTCCACCCATCCAACACCCTCTACCCACAACCTTTTCCGCCAATTAGAGACCGACATTCAGTCCCTCGCGCTCTCGCAGAATTCTTGATCTTCTTGAAATCCCTCCGCCTTTTCTCTAGTAAAATCCTCATCGGTTCTTCGAGTATTCTTTGAATTTCACCCCAATGAAAATCGGTGATTGACAAAATGGAGAACACTGGGAGTGTGTCGATGAATTCGATGACTTTTATCGGAACTCATCGGCTAGATAAGAATTCCACGAAATTGTTAATATGCAATATGTTGAAATTCCGGGTAGAGAGTGTCACGGGAAAAATGATAAACAATCTATTTTCCCCCGGAAGCTGTGGGAAACAACTCGAAAAAAAATTAATTATTTTTCTCATGAGAATCGACAGATTATGATGGAAATGCTTTCCAAGAAAACTGCTCGCTGTACACTTTTTCCTATGGAAGTTTGAAAATTAAATGAAAACCCACGATTCGTTCGTGAGTGATTGGATATTAGGAAATGTTGAGTCTTGATATTTGCGGTTCAAAAAATTTCTCTTTCTCGTTTACCCTTCCAGGGTTTTTACGATTTATTGCCATCGGACCCGCGAAAACCCCCTGTATCAAACTTACCTGAGGGAGGGAAAACCTCATTTAACAGGAAAACCTGTCCTACAGGTACAGCTGTCCTTTTGACGGAACCACCGCTCGGCAGTGAATCTGAGATTAGAGGGCTATAAATTTCGCGCCACTACCGTCGGTTCTTCCGCGTTCAATTTATTTGAGACCAATTTTGGCGATTAAACAATCTATTCGTACTGAATGCCGTCTAAATTGAAAGGGCTATAATTTCCTCTGTGATGTATTCGATCCACTAATGGACTATTTAGAAATCCCCACGCGAATATTTACCTCTCGATTCCCTCAGAAGCCACGGAAGAACTTGCAATTGAAACTTACTGGAAAGCCTTGTAGTGCAGCTGTTACCGAACAATATGACATCGTGAAGAATAGCCAAGAAATATGAGAGAGAGTAATGGAAGAATTCGATTGTAAATTCAAGTGTTCTAAGAGATTCCATTCGATGTCAATTATTATCACAATTCCCTTAAAAAATAATATTATTCCTGCCAATTGTTTAATAACAGGAATTTTATCAATTTCATTGTACCCAAATCATTAATAATTATAACAATTAATAGCACTAATAAATAATAATAAATAATTAATGCATTGATTAATTTATAAAAGAATTTCAAAAAAGAATCGATTGGTTTTGTGGAATGGGGAAAATGGTTTTAACTGCGAATTTTTTTTTTAGAGTGAAGAAATTTTTTTTAGGGTGTGGGACAACCGGGGGGTGGATCCACGATCTTTGATCTCCCCGATCCTAATTTTATTTTTTATTTTTCGATATTGCGAGGATCAATCAAGGCCATCAGGGCTAACAGTGGAATATTCATTCAACGCCCATCGCTCCATGAGATTTATTTGTTATTGGAAATTGAATATGCAAGGGATTTATATTTCAGGTGTTCGCTTAACGAATGGACGTGAATCTGAATGATACATAAAACTTGATAAATATTGATATTCCCGGACTGTACATTTTTCACCTGAAATTAATTCACTTCATAGTATTTTCATTCCGATTCTCAAGGACACCTGGAAATGATAAAAAATAATCATTCCGATTTGTTCTGTTAAAAAACTTACGTAAATTAAAGTGATAGAAATATTAGAAATTAGAGTAAATAATAGGGACGTAGTCTCTCCTGCTGGTGAGGTGGAAATTTATAGTGAACCTGTCGACAGGATTTTCTTATGCCTCAGGGGATGGCTTCTACTTTGCGAGTTTTTAATGTATGAATTCATGAATTAATTAATCCATGAATTAAACTTAAATTTAAGTAAAATTCATGAATTAAGATGGATTAATTAAAATAATAAATTAAAGGTCTTCAAAGGTACTAGGTCATAGGATGAAAAAAATCGAAAAACCGAAAGGAAGAATTCGCGCAAAGAGATTCTGCTTGGCATATCGCGTAAACTGTGCATCGGTGCGATCGAGAGGAAATTGCTAATGGGATTGGAAAAAAGAGAATAAATATTTGGACTCACCTGGTGTGTACTAATTCTCATATTTTCGATTTGGATAATGACTCGATCTGATAACACCGAAATTGTACATGAAATCCCGAGGGAATTCCCCTTTCCGAAAAAAAAAATCACTGTGACGATTTGTCTATTCGGGGGTTCCCATTTTTCCCATTTTCATTTTCGGTAAGCTGATTCTCTGTGGACAATGAACTTTTTCATTTATCAGAAGCTGATGTGGGTTGCAGAGGCAGAGTTTTAATGAATACTCGACGTTAATTGTGAAATGGAAGTTGAAACAATTTCGGTAATGAACTCGTCTGTTATCAGATCCCCCCAGACATGTTTAATAACTTTAATATGAATGAGTTTCACCGGAAAAATCAAAATTCATGTTAACAAACAAATGTTTAAATTTAAAAAAATGGGAATTCCGCCATTGACGTGGTGCAGGAAAAAAAAATGATTTTCGCTTTTATGAAAAAATGAAATTTTATTAAAAAAATCATCAGCCCAGAGCACCCCTTGAACGAGGGTGAAAATTATTGTTTTCTTTTGATTTTTGTGAACCTTTTGGAAATTCTAATCTCGTCTACGGGGTAAGCACACACGAAATCAGCGATTGTTTGATGAACGAACTAAATTCAGAGAAAAATCCTTTTCCTCCCAAAGTGTCAATAAAATTCTTTCATACGTGGATAACTTCATCCACCCGGAAGTGGATATTTTTCATGGAATATCGTAAGACCTCCGTACGTAACCCCCTGAAATAAGGAGCCAAGATCAACAGTGATTCAACGTTTGCTTTAGTCAGAAACTTTCCTCAGAATGCAATACTAGATTGCAAGCAAACGGTTCTCCTAAGTTTCTCAGTAAGGGTGTATAACCAGAGAATTGCATAACACGAGATTTGATGCAAGTTTCTCTTGTGCTCCAGGAAAAACTCATCGAAGGGATTTCAAGGGCTGCGAATAGAGGCCTTTCCTCGAAATCTCAAAATCCACAATCTTTGGAGATATTACAGCATTTCGTAATGATTTTCGTAATAATTATTTTATCAGTATTACGTAATCATTAATTAAACTGATGAAGGGATAAATACTGTGGCAGGGACACTGAATGATTGTCTATCGCTTTTCAATTTGCTATTGATTGAAAGTAATACTGTTAAATTCAATGTATCAGTTCTCCAGGATACAGTTGTATTGAGTTACGTAAGGGAGGATAACAAACAGTCACGTGTCGCAGATACCTGTCACGTAACAACTTCGACCAACGACCATCAACGTGACTCGCCCACCATCTGGACCAACTTTAGAATGAAAGACAGCAAACTTTACCATTGCCAGGCTATTTTTGCCCTTAGTTATGTCACTTCCACGCGCCAGGATCAATCCCCAACAATCAGTCGTTGGAAATAATGCAAAAATAGTCTATTATATAATAATGGTTATGCATTAAAGCTGCCGGTATTCATCCGATAAAAATTGAAATCTAAATAAATCGCTTCACCCCTGATTCCGTAAGAAGGGAATTCAAATGATCGCGCCAGTGGATTGGAATGTGCGTTCGGTTCGGCAAAATGGCGGGCACTTGGTGGGCTCGGGGGGGTTCGAGCGGTTGGAGGCAGTCAGTGATTTGAGTGAATTCCTGGATCCAGTGTATATCACAGCAAGTCCATGTCATTCAGCTGAAGATCACTGGAGCATTCTCCAGAAAGATTGACAAGTGCTGCAACACCTGCCTCGTGAAATGTTAGTGCCATCCACGGTAGCTCCTCCGCTGTTCCGCAAACGCTCCCAAGTGTCTTCCCTGTCAACTCTCTGTTAAAGCAGGTTAAACCTTGACGAATCACTCACAGAATGGATTACTCAGCAGCCGTTGAGGATGCAGTACGTCGTTTTTACTCAACAGGTGCAAATGATGCGCATCTTTGGTTGCTGCAGTTTCAGGCGTCGCATGAGGCCTGGACACATATCTGGCCACTACTGGAACCGAGTCGTTCCTGCGAGGTGCAATTCTTCGCAGCGACAACTCTTCATGCAAAAATTTCAAAACAATGGAACGAGGTGCCACCTTCAGACTACAGCGACCTGAGAAATCGAATTCTCACGCTCATGAAGAACTCGACGACATCAAAGCTGGTGCTGGCTCGTCTGTGCCAAGCATTAGCTGCTTTTTTGGCGAGCAGTGATGGTCTTGAGGGTAAGAACGAGAGCGAGGGAATGATAGATGATCTGATCCGGATGTTTCCCTATGATAATCAGAGTAGTCTAGACCTACTGCTAAGAGTTTTAATAGCCCTTCCCCGGGAGTTCGAAAAGAAATGTGGCCTGAAGAGGCCAAAACTGAGAGACAATCTGGTGGCGAGCTGGTGCAAAACATCTTGGTTACTTCGTCAAGTGTTCACAACATACGAAGGGACTCCTCCTCAGTCTTCAGACGACTCTCTCTATCTTTTGTCTATAGAGTGTGCCCTAGCCTGGCTAAAGGTGGGGCCACTCCCAGTGGATAGCCTCGTCGATCTCTATCCCCATTTGGTGATAGCAGCTTCCAATTATGTTCCCACCACTGAAGACGCCATCGAGGATGCCAGGGGGTGGGAACTCGTCCAGGAGTGCCTGATACTAGCAATTGCTCACTCAGATCTGCCAAAACGCCCCCAACTCCTGTGGGAGTGGTGCAGAGGTCTTGTCAGTGTTGCAGAGCAGAAGGGAGGCATTCATTTCTCCGAGCTGCTCACCTCCTTGGGAGATATTCACAGTCGATTCATCCTCTTATCCTTGACTGAAGACGCCGATGAGAGCCACAGGTGGACGTCAGAGACCCTGATAAAACTCTTACTCGAGTGCTCAGAACTGCCAGGACGATATCCCATCGAGGAGAGAAAGAGTTGCATTCCTTTTGGGTTCTGGTTCTCCTTCCAGGATAATGTCACCACTTTTGATCCGCCTGTGGAGGATCGAGCCAGGAATGCCCTCAAGCCTATCTATGCCAGGCTAGCTCAGGCATTACTCAGAAAAGCGACACTTCCCTCCTGTCCTGACGAGGCCGGCGATGCCGATGAGAGGGAATTACTGAGGTGCTACAGGCAGGATGCTGCTGACACTTTCACCTACTGCTACAACATCCTGGGATATGAATTACTGATTCTCCTGGGGAGGAGACTCACACAGCCTCAAGATAATCAGAAGTGGACTGACGTCGAGTCGAGCCTTCATGCCTTTCAGGCACTCTGTGATAGCGTAGGCACACAGGAGACTGAATACGTGCCTGCGCTGATAGATATCGTTCTCTCGCACATACCTTATCAGAATTACCCCAAAGAGGTTCTCGCCAGTGCTTGCTCAACTATTGGGGCTTACGCTGAGTGGATTGGGGAGAATCCCGATCCCTGGTTGGAGAGATCCCTTCAGCTGGTGACTCTGGGGCTGACTCAGGGCTCAGTGGCATCAACCCCTGCTTCCATGGCACTCAAGGACATATCTAGAGAGGGTGGGCCTCATCTGGCACCTCTCGCACCTTCGATCCTCGAAACAATCTCCAGGACTCTCCCTGTGGTGCCCCCAGGGGGCGGCGAGGGGCTCAGACTCATGTATGCAGCCGGAAAACTCCTCAATTCACTGTCAAGCACTGAGGAACAGCTCAAATATCTCGATGCTACGCTCGGATTGTGCGTTATGAGGCTCCAGGTGTTCCTCAGACATCCCATCAACACTGGGAGAGTTGCTGTTGCTAATCAGCTGAAGATGATCACTATGTTCCTTTCGACTCTCGAGGGAGCTATTGGAAAATCTGTACTCGATGGACTTGTCCCTATTTTTGAGCAGATCGTCGCTCATTCAGAGTGGGGCCACGACGATGTCATCCTCGAGGCAATGCACACTTGTGCTCAGAAGTCTTTGCAGTGTCTTCTGCATCCTGAGACTGAAGCTACACCTCTTCTACTTATTTTGGTGAATTCGTACAAGGTCAAGCCTCATCCTGCTGCTCTCGGGCTACTTAGGCAAATGGTTTTGCTATGTGGGAGTGATATTAAGTGTGGAATTGGTACGATCTTCGGGGAGATCTCTGGGTACAGTTTAAGGGGATTTAAAGCTTGTGAGACCAGTGGGGGTGATCTGTCGGAGTTGTCTGATTTACTGGAGGCGTATTTAGGACTTTTGGCTCAGGTCTGCAAGAAGACTCCTATGCTCATGTTACATGTGCCTGATCAGGTGCCCGATATGCTTCGATGTGGTACGTTTATTTAATGAAGTGAGATTTCTGTTGATTCTTCAGTGAGAGGATTATAATTCTTCAACAACAGGTCATTTCTATCTTATGCTTATTTAAGTTAATTGCAGTTATTTTACATTTCAGGTATTACTGGTTTAGGATTACCGGAATATGGAGTTACCAAAGCTGCTGGGACGTTCCTAGCGCACGCTGTAAAGAGCCGACATTTGAATTCATTTGTATCAATGGTTGGGCAGGAGCTTGTTTGTATGATCTTACATTCTGTCGGTAAGAATTGGATTCTTGCATTTATGGATTCTTTCAATCGCCAAAAGGATAATGAGTAATTCTTGCTTGTATTCAAGGAGGACGAATACCAAAATCTAATCTAGAGTCTCACGCACGTGTCCTATTGTCTCTGAATGACAGCTTTGGCGAATACACGGGACAATGGCTGAGACTGGCTGTCGCTGACTCAACAGCATTGACGACACCCGGACAGAAGGAAGACTTCACCAGAAATGTTTTGAGGGAGAGAAACAGCAAAAGATTGTTCGAGACACTTCTGAAATTCAGCTTGCAGTGTCAAAAACCTGTGATAGGACTGTAGATAATATTTACAATGAATTCTTTAGTTGAGTGGACCTGGAGATTAGAATACGCTTAATGCTTCGCATCGTACAGAGGAAATTCTCACCTCAAATCTCAATTAACAAGTTTAAATATCAAGCAAATATTTTCAATAGGACATTTTGTAAATTCTCTTCCATTATTTTTCCAATTTTCCGAGGTTAGGGAGTTGAATTCTCAATCAAGAGATGTTCTGTCGATTTTTAAATACTATCTAGGGACTCGGTGGATTTCTCAGATCATGTCTGTCTTGATATTCCATTCAACTGCTAAATACACCAGTTGATGGTTAAATTGATGCCAATATTTTATGTTGGATCTGCTTCTCTTAGAATTTTTCATTAATAAAATTATTGATTCTGAATATCCTTTAACGATTCATTTCTTTTTTTTTTAAGGTATTCGAGTATTTCTTTTAGACTTTTTGCAATCATAGAATTATTTAAGGGTCGGTGCAGACAAATTTGATAATTGAAAAACAACTTGAAAATTCCTAATCGTTTGTTGCACTAGTGGGGAGGCTCTGACAATAAATTTGGGATCTCGGAACTGTTGCGTTTACGGGAGATTGAGTTGAGGCTGTGCCATTAAATGATAGGAAAAAAACAATATAAATAGCATTTAGAAAAATTGTACCTTGTGATTATTTATTCATGTTCTATTTGAATGTTTTTCGCAGATTCTACAAAATGAAACAAAAAATGTCATTCATGCCCCAATTTCTTTACAAAATTCTTCAAGTTAATGTAAACCTTCGTTATCGTACCCCGAATTATCATCAATATTGGCAGCAGAGTCAGTTTCAAGTTTACATTAGTGAATATCATATGCATATGATTGCAATTATCAAACAAACACTGTTTCTTCCTTTTTGTAAGAAAATACGAAAGAATCCCAAGACAAACGAATTCACCATCTTTATCACACACATTCGAGCTTTGATTTCACCCAAAAACTAAAAGATGTATGAATAAATAAAAAAGAAAAAGTACTTTAAATGTTTTCAATAATTTCAAAACTCAATAATACTAAACGCCGTGTCAAAATACTAATAAAGTTGCGGAAAATCAGAGTAAAATAATTAATTGTTCTGCTGAATAAGTGAATTAAGTGAAAGCTACTTCAAAAAGACGCATTTTGACGTTTAGAGAAAAAAGAATCTCACGTTTATACAATTTGTAAATAAGATGCTGATAATCTGGTTTCATGGAATTAATTCAGCAGCAAAGTGATTAAATTCCCAAATCTATCGACATCACGTTAAAACATCAAAGGACCTGTCTGTAGTTAATTTCATTTCCCACAAAGAATGCCTTTGACATATCCTCACAAAATCAATAATGCTCAGATTCATCGATATTTATCAACAGGAAAAAGACTATTCACCACTTTACTGCTGAATTTCGTGGTGAATAATGATTTTCCAAATGATTACCTCAAACTCATAAATAAAAAAGTCGAACGAAAAAAAATCTATTGATCACGTCCGTTGGCAGCTGATGAGCCAAAATTAGCAGCAATTCTCGACTTCCTTTGTCTAGGATTTTTCTGATTCTTCTGTGTAACTAGATTGTCCTTGCCAACTTTATGCTGCTCATTTTCCTTAGCCTTGTCATCCCTGGATGTCTTTGGAGAATTCTCTTTGGGTTTCACCTTCTGTGGCTTGAGCGGTGGTGACTCCTTGTAATGAAATTCCTGGGATTTGTCCTTGGGATGACGTAAGCGTGTTTTCTTCTGTGCCTGAAGGGGAACGAAGGGTGCATTTTGCTTGATTTCCTTGGGCTCAGGATGAGAAGTGCCTGGAGTTGGTTCAATGGGATTGTCCATTCTGGGAGGTGGCACTTGTGTGAAGCCCGGGGTCTGGTGGGGTATGCTAACGTTCCAGTTGGCTGGTGGCCTCACTGGTGGCTTTTGAGCGTCGGGAATGAATTTAGGGGACATCATCACACGGGGCTGGACATTTACCGGGGGCTGGACGTTCACTGGAGGCTGAACATTCACTGGAGGCTGAACATTTACTGGAGGCTGAACAGTCACTGGAGGCGGAACGTTTGGCCAAGCGTTAGATGGCGACATGTGGAAGTAAGGACGTAGCCTCGGTGCGTTGGCCAGATTCAATTCGTTGTAGACTTTTTTCGCTGCATTCTCAGCTGCCTGATGATGATTGGTGCACAGGTCACTGTAGAACATCCGCATGTCTGGGAGGACTATTTGGGCGTGGACCAGATTCTTTCGGGTGCTGTAAAAGTACCTGGGCATTCCAATTCCCATCAACTGGTAGTGGTTCAGCAGACGGGCGCAGTAAGAGACGTTCTCTTCTCGTGTCTGTCTTGCACGATCGAACATCAATTGCACCAGTGCCACTGTATTTGGTCTTGGGGCATTAGATGGTGAGGCTGGTGTTGGCGGTTGTGGGAAGCATCCTCTGTCTGTTGCTGGCTTTGGCTGATCACTGGTTTTGTCATTCTCTATTTTCAGAACAGCTTTTAAGAAAGCGCTTGGATCCTGCGACTGAGGCACAAATGAGATAATTACATGAAATAGTGAAATATCAGGGTAATTATGCAGATACACAACATTTCGTACAACGCAATTAGCACAAAGTGATAAATTTAACTCACCGGCTCTGGGATGCACGTGGGCATCGGCCGTGGCATTTGCGCTTTCATCTGTGGGAATGGACCTGTCACGGATTGAGGTACCTAAAAACATCCAAAAAATCATATAAAGAAAATATCCAATAAAAATTAATAACGCAAATATTTTGGATTTCATGTAATGAGAATGAATTACCGTATTTTTCTGTAGTTCATTCCACAGCATCTGGAACTCAGTATTGGTCTCACTCTTCACCTCAGGTTCCTTCTTCGCCCCCTGACCCCTCATGGCCGCGACCTGCGCCCCTTGATTGTGATTCTGTCCCTTACCGTTTCCAGTGACAGGACTAAAATTCCCCTGTGCAGTAAACGAGGCAAAAGCACTATTCAGAGCACCCTTTCTATCCTGTTTCGCCTCAAGCTTCTCCGGAGCACTTGTAATTCGCCCGCTATCCTGCAGATTCCTGACCCAAGAGATGTTAATAAACTCAGCATCATGAAGCTCAGCCCTCCGACTGTTGCCTTCCCCATTGAACGAAATTCCCCCAATGAAAGGCTTGTCGAACAAAACCTCAAAAAGATTATCACTGCTACTGCCATTCACCACGATAATTCTGATAATAGTCCCCTTGTACCCAAGTGGAACACTGGAATTCTCATTAACCGATATAATTCTATCGAACAGTAGATTCGTAGTCCTGGTATCAGGTGGTATATTTCCACAATTAATACCAGGCTTGAACAACAAGTGTGGCTTGACCTGCATGATAACTGTTTTCGCTGCATTCTCACTCTTTTCGACGAACTCATCGACCTGAGCCTGGACCAAATCAATAATATCAGGATCAAGTTCCGTCGTATCGCAGCTGCAGGGTGGAATTTTTCTGAAAGGTTGCTCCTTGAGCCACTTAACGACCTCCTTGACATCGCCATCGCACGAGAATAAATCCTGTTCATTGAATACGTCATTTCCCAGATTTTCGACAAGTTTCTCAAAGACCTTGGGGAACTCCTCCATGTAACTCCTGATGAGTCCCAGCGACTTGGTGCTGTACATCCACTGGCCATTGACCTTCTTGGTGTACCCAGACAGCTGCTCATTTCTCTTGTTGAATTTGAGATTGAGACCAATATTTGTCTGCTTCTTAGAATTCGTCGAGGACTTCAGCTGGACAAAAATAGATCCTGTTATCCTACTCAACAGGTGATTGCTGATACTCAGCCTCCTAGCAGCAATGTGACAATGCATGTACTCCATGTTGACGCGGTTCTGCTGTATCTGGAGCGCCGCGAAATCAGGCTCTGGGGTGATGTTCATGGCCACCTTGACCCTTCCGGTTTTAAGGATTACTCCAGGCTGGACGACCTCCCCCATGGCGCCATAATGGGGATGTCCCAGCATAAAGCATATACTCTTCGGTGTGTAAATATCAGTGATATTTCTGTGAGAGATATTCCCACTATTTTCGACGTCAATATCGTAAACAATCGACTGATAGGGATAATACGATGGAACACTAGACCACTCCTTCTCCAGGGACATCCTCCCCTGGTTAGTGAAGATGTACCTGCGTCCGGTGATGACTCTCACGCGAATTAGAACTTCGATATCCCCAGTTACAATACCAAACCTCGATTTGTATCCCATGGAGACGTCTCCAGCCTCAGCCTTCCAGTGCACCTCGTCCCGACGAGTTAGATCTGCCTGATCAACGTTCTCTGAACTGTAAGGCTTCTCTAGATTGATCAAGAAAATTTTCTTGAGGCAGTCAGACACCCCGATTACCTGCGCCTCCAGCAGATGAGGCCATTTGACGAAAACAGATTTCCCCAGGAGATCATGGGCCAGCTGCAAAAGATCAGGCGATTTCCTCGGGAGAATCGTTATAATCATATTCTCGTACATCGAGGGTTGCTCAAAAATTTTCACCTTGGCCTTCTCGAGCTTTATCTCGTGCTTGAGATACTGGAGAGTGGGAAATCCTGGGAAATATGTGCTCATCTTGACCCCTTCCAAGAGGCCCTTCATCAGTTTCTCTCTGGGGACGTCGATCTCCTTTGGATCCACCGAAGTGATACTCGCGTGATTCTCGATCGTGGGAAAATATGCTGGTGCTGTTATCATCCCCAGGTTCTTCTCTGTGTAGCTGATTATGCTCATGGAACCATGACGATTTCTCTTCTGCTCCTCTGGAGTGAGTTTGGCGTGGTAGGGCTCCATGGCGTCGAGCATTTTCTTCTCGTCTATGAAGGGAATCAACACCACTCCCTCCCATTCCCGAGTCTTCTCGTTGAGGTCGACTTTAAAATCTTCCGGGTAGTAGCTGATTATTGGGGATTCCTCGTCGGTGAGGAGATTTTGGTAGGCCTCAGGGAGAAGGGATCTGCTGGCTGCTGGTAGCACTGCCAACAGCTGCTGGAAGGGCAGAAAGGGAGTTCCCATTTCGAAATCCAATTTTAAATCTTTAAAATCTTTTATGTCTGATATAAAGGGGGCGTAATGGTGTGGGTAAAACCAGGACCAACTGCAGCAGCCGTTGTAGTAGTAGTGCAGATTCCACTGGATCGCTGTGACATAGGCTGTTGCCTGCTCTCTCATCACGTCAGCGTCAACCTCGTCGTAATGGAATTTCGTGAGGTAATAGTCTTGCTTGTGCTGGTGAAACTCTAGGGCGTAGGTCTCGGTGTCTGAATCATTAGAGAGTAGGTCGTCTTCTTCGGAGGAGTGCCCCAACAGTAGATCGTCTGTGGACTGGATGAGGGACTCGAGGTCCTTTTTGAAAGACTTCTTCGAAGGATTGAGGCTGGGAGAATTAATGTGGGGAGGCGTGCCATCGTTTTCTGAGACTCGACGACCTGTTTTACTCTCGAAGTATTTGAGGTCGGCCTGGTGGTCCGAGAAATGCTGTACATCGATGGCCGACAGCTTATCCATGAATTTTTCGAAGCGAGAAAGATTCAACATTCCTGATTCGTTTATGTAACCGTCGAGGGTGGGGAGGGTTTCCTTGTACGCTGCGTAGAGGATGGGGAGGGCCCCTTTGGCGATGTGGAGGGTCGGCAAGTGAGGGATGAAATCATTCCCGATGAGGAAACCCATTAAAATCCAGTCGTCAATGATTTTTTCGAGATCGAAAGGAAATGGGAGAATTGGCTTGAGGGACTCGAACTCGTGCTCCATATACTCTCGAAGAAGGGACACGTGCAGGAGGGTAAACTTTGTCTTCTCTGCTGCGACGTGAGTCTGAGAAGAGCGACCATATTTCACCTCCTCTCGGAGCACTGCGAAGTGGGGCTCGTGTGTGCACAATGAGAGTATCACCAGGTCTGCGTCTTGACCGTACAGACAGTGACGAATGTTCGGGTCGTACGAGGGCTGCGCCTTCATGTACCGAATGTAATCCATTATCTTGTGCTCACCCTCACCTGGGACCTCAGGCCCACTCAGGATAACCTTGCACTTCTGCCAGAGCTTATCAGTGGATATTTTGTAGATGATGAAATACCTCAGCTGTTCAGTCAACTTTGCCATGAACTCAGTACCAGGTGTGATGCAATTAGAATCAAATCTCGCTTCTTTTGGTAGCACTTCACCTTTAGCACGTGCCTTACTCTCGACAATTTGCGCCTCCTTAGCCGATTTAAATCTCCTGCTCCTCTGCTGATTAATTTTAGCACGTGGTGCAACCCCATCAACAGCCATGAAGAACAGCCTCTGTGGTCTGATCGTGCGAAACAATATCTCCACGTAGAGAAATATATTCTTAAAAATAGTCTCTTCAGTGATGCGAAAATGTGCATCACCGTCATTCGGATGAGAACAGCAATGGATAATACCATTCATATCTAAATACAAGTTATCAAACTCTGGGATCTGTAAACAAACACCAAAGCTTAATTACCATCTGCTCTAATGATTCCCAAACCCCAATCAAACGAATTCCATCCCTCAAATCACCCCAATCCCCAAAAACCCTTAAATTCTCGATTAATTCTTTACTAAGTAAAATCCAGCCCTTGACAATTTTCTCATCTCTCAATTTTCTTCATCGTTCTCACCTGATATTCGTTCAACACCTCCAAGAGGCAGGGATACCTCTCACAAATAAATCGCGTGAACTTCGGTACCCCCATTGTTCCCTCGTTAAAACTATAATTTATCAGTAACAAACAATGCCTATTTCACGAATTTACTCAGCATAAAAATATATATATTATCTGAAGGATAAAAAAAAACCCGGGTATAACCACAAACACTTCAATACAAGTATACGAGTTTGTCGTTTACTTTCGGATCTTTCAGATATATTTCCCCTGCGCGTTACAAATTTTCCGGAACACTTCATCGCAAGTGACCAAAAGACTGGAATTATCATTGACTGCTGATCGGTAAGAGCGATCCCTTTTATATTTATATATTGTACTTGAGTTATTAAAAATGGCGTCAAGTTGTGATTGTAACCGATGAAAATTGCTGAAGACTGATAACACTGATATCAATAAGTCTGATACAATCAATAATAACGTGGGGTCCGGAGGCCACTCCAGCAGTGATAATAAATCAATAATAATGCAGTGATAAGTCCTGAAGTGCGTGATTGTGATGATGAGGTAGTTAAATGCGTTTGTCACGCAACATCCTGGTGAAAGTGACAGCCCTTGGGCTTTTGATACTAGTCCTGTACTGTCTGCAGACAAATGTCACCTGGACGAGCCACCTGGTGACTCACAATGTTCCCTTGGAGGATAACCAGTCCTCCAACCTGAGGAGAATAATCCCAGAGGCTTCATGGGCATCACCACAGCCCCTCAAGTCCCCGGAGACAGCTGACAGTTATTACAACGTCTGGAGCATCTTCACCAAAGTCACCACCAATTCTCCTATGAGAAGAAAATTCAGGGTTTTCACCGAGTCCCTGATGAGGCACTCAACTATCAATCTGACATTTCACGTTATTAGTGATAATCAGAGTCAGGTGATTGCTGATGCAGTTGTCAGGTTGAACTCGTTGAAACTGAATAAATCGATAAACGTTGAGTATTATGATGTTCACAAGCTGGCCCAGCAGTTGGGCGATATCGTCGAGGTGATGTCCCCCAGGTTCAGCAGTAAACCAGGAACATATTACTCCGATGCTCTGTTTTTTCTATCCCTTGGGCTCCACAGGATCGCCTCTCCCCAACAGAAATTCGCTGTTATGCTAGATGTTGATACAAAACTCAGGGAAGATATAAAAATACTTTTCGAAGAGTTTGATAATTTTGGAGAGACTGCACTCTTTGGCCTCACCCCTGAACTCACTCCGGTTTATCGGCACGTTCTCTATATGTACAGGAGTAAAAATCCTGAGACTTTGTTCGGGGAGGCACATTCCAAGGGGGGATATCCTGGATTTAATAGTGGAGTCGTTCTCTTTCATTTGGAGAGGCTCAGGAACTCACTCGAGTACGATCAAATTGTCAGTGAGGACATGGTGCAGCATATGACTGAGAAGTATAGCTTTAAGGTAAGTATTTTGTTAAAAAATAAAAATTTATTTTATATAATAATATGGATATTGCAGGGCCATCTGGGAGATCAAGATTTTTATACTCTCCTGGGTATGGAGCGTTCTGAATTAATCCATCCTATTGATTGCGGATGGAACCGACAGTTATGCACGTGGTGGAGAGATAGTGGATACGCTGATGTATTTGATAAATATTCGAGATGCAACTCGACGACGAAACTCTGGCATGGCAACTGCAACACGCCTATCCCAGAGATATAACAATCAAAGAAAACAATTCTCTCCCTCCAACTGTGATCTTCAACGGCAATAAACGTTATTTAAGATTAGGAGTGAAAATTCATAATTTAATATTTAGAAGAATTGCAGTTGATAATTCTCCACTAATTTATTGTACATGAATTTTAATATTCACGTAGGTCTCACGTGAGTGCTAACTCGTTGCCATTGATAAGTTAATACGGTGCTTCAAAATCTCGATAAATTTCTACTGTTGAAACCTGTTTAATAAATAAAATGAAAGACAATTGATTATCGAATAATTTTAATACACATTGGGACAAATAAATACATAAATTTTATACATCGATTGATCCCTCCTCGATAGAAATACCATCGAAAGCATTAAATTCCTCAATGAACATTGGTACTAACAATGGCCTTAAAATAAATTTATGTACATTCCTCGAATTGGCTCAAGGTGTGGGATGTGAAAAATCCCCTGGATTGATCGAATTAACAATCGAAAATATAATGCCTGAACTCTAACAACACCACACTTGAGCAATTCCTCAATTCCATTAACTCGATAACATCCAATTAACTTCTCGATTTCCATAATTTTACTACATCTTTAGTTTTGTTTATCACTCGACTGACCAGCATTTTTACAAGGGACAACTTCACTTCTCAAAAAAAAACTATTCTACTGTAAAAACTCCCCTTCATTTTTTTAAGTTATATAACGTAATCGATAAAAAATAATTCAATCATTAATAATAAACCTTTGGTCCCGTTCTGCACGATTTTCTCATCAATGGTTAATTCATTACTCGATTCTATCCGTTCCCACCAACTTTGGCATAATGTAACGTAAATAACTGTAACCAAAGGATCAAACGGATTTACATTGAATAAAAACCAATGAAATTGGGGGTAAGCGTTAGTCTGCACATGAGCAATAAGGAATACTGGATAACTAAGGACATAAAATAAAACAATTATTTTTTACACAAAGAACTAACATAATGTCAACGTCAAATTATCGTGGATTCAAAATGGAATAATTATAAATCCACAGAAACTTCATTCTCAGATTATTTCGTTGTCCTGTTGTATTGATTTGTTTCGTTAATTAATTTCATTAGTTTAACGAACAAAAGAAATCAATTTTTGCAGGCGAAAATAAGAAATGTGGATTTGATAATTATTTCCATATGGTATTAATTGATTTTTCCGTAGCACCGAAATATCTTCATGCATTCTCGTAACAAAATAATTATTTACATCTCAGATACTCGAATAATTAACGCAAATCGCAGAATTTTGATGGAGAAAAATGTGGAAGCTGGATTTAGTATCGTAGTCACAGATAAAAGAGAGATACTGCTAGATTGAAGAATATTGAATTAGAAAACTGCAGAGCTGTTGAGGACAGCAGAACAACTTGTCATCAGTTCTTGTCGATTATTGAAGTAGGAAAAAACGTGGAGATATTTTTCACAGAAAAACCTCCGTAGCTTTCGAATCCTACAACTTTCAATCGTCAATCTCACATCGTCTCGAAATATCTGTTGGTAGAAGCCTCAAAACCAAGTTTTTCCATCAATCAATAATATTAATAATATACGAATTAGACATTGAAACAAATTCCTGAAAATCATATTTACGATATTTTTGTCTCCGATTTTCTTCTATATTTGTACCTCTACGAAAAAAAAACGAATGAATTTAACAAATTTTGAACAGATAGCCGGGGAATCCCAAACGGATTATTCCCAAAAATGAACTTCCAAAAAAAATGTGGAAACGAAATTCTCCCAGATCAACTCCTAAAAATCTTCGAGAATAAAACATCTTCAACCAATAAAAACCTTTTTATTCACACAGAAGAGTCTCTTTAAGAGACACTACTGACACTCCTGAGTTTCTCCCTCCCGAAGTTCCTGATGGACTCGAGGAGCTGATCCCTGGGATCCTGATAAAGAGGAGTTGACACAGGTCTGGGTTTCGAGCTCTTCAGCGTAACACCAGTTATAACTGGCATCGTAGGTGGTGGAGGCACAGTAAAATTATTCCCCAATTCCTTGAAACCCTTGACAACCGGCGCAGGGCCACTCTTACCAGGATTAATCCTCAGAACATCGCTCTTGAGTCCATTCCCCTGAGGATTGATTCCCACAATAGAAGTATATCGTTTCACCTTGGGCCAATCACTCTTCACTGGCTCTTGCTTGACCTCCTGACGAGAATCGAAATAATCAGAATGACGATTCTGGGGACTGAACTTGGATCGGCTCCTCAGATTCACTTGACCAAAAGCCTGAGTCAATTTCCTGAAATTCACTGGTCTCGTATCGATCTTAATATCTTCATCAGGCGCTCCATTTTCCTCGATTTTCCCATTGGAAAAATTTCTCGATTGTTCCAGATTATTTGACAACTTCTCCTGGAGGTTCTTCACCTCCTGTTTCTCATTGATCGAGTGTATCTCCACTTCGTTATTCGTGAAGTTGAGATTATCATTCCTGGGCTGATCATAAGCAAACGATTTCTTTGGTAAAGTCTTGGCTGGTCTCTCGTAATTGACAACATCATTACTGGAGTTGAGACTGACGACAGTTGTTCCTTTCGATTTATTGTGATTAAATTTGTAATCGGTGTCGTGTTTGATCTGGACATTGATGGAGGGACGTTCAGACCAGCTCCCCAAGGAGATGGCAGGTGGTGCCCATTTGCAGCGTTTGGGTTCCTCTTTCTGTTCTGATACCCCAGATTTTCCTGGTAGAGTGGACTCTAGCTGTGGTAGAATGCTCTTGAGCACCTGGACAGATTGCAGCTCATCTTCCTGATTCAAATTCGTGTAACTGGTGGACTTGAACATTTTTTCAGCGTCAGGTGTTGGTTTCTGGACTTCCCTGTACTTGGAAGTGTTCGAGAGGACGATGTAGCTCTTGGATCTATGAACAGCTGACGATTTCTGATCGCTCTGGTGCCTGAGAGCCATATTGAACCTCTCCACAGGCTTCAGGGGTTTCGATTTGCTTTCACTATCCGGCGAGTCAATCTCCTCAACACTCTGAGCCCTGGTGATGCCTCTCATCTCGATGGATCTGGACTTGGGTTCTTTGGAAGGCAGGGGGAGAGGTTCTTTGGGGTAGAGTGAGCGGTTTCGAGAGAGAGTGGCAAAGGTCTTGACAATTCTCTCGTCAGAGGGATTTGGAAAGACGTTTTCAGAAGAATCTGTCTCCTCGTAGATGTTGGGGCTTTTCTGATTGGAGTACGTCGTTATCGTGAAGTTGGAGAGAGTGTTGTCCACTGGGGCTAGACGAGGGCTCGATTTGTTAAAAGTTTTCTTCGATTCCTCTGGAATCTTCAGGGGCATCAGGCCATTCTCTATCTTTGTTGACAGCTCTGAAATTATGTCTTTCTTGAGGTCCTGGGATATTTCACCCTGGTGAATTTCCTGAGGAATTTGAGTAGGTTTTGGAGGGGGAGAGGTAGGTTTGGCCTTGGCGGGGACTGGGGGAATGTCTTCTGGAGTAGTCGAGGATTCGACGATGGCTATGGGGTCCTTGAAGGCCTCCACAGAACCCAGGGTTATGGTGTCGTAACCACCGGGCTCTGGGGATGAAGAGTCTCGGAAGGCTGAGGGGGGATCTGGCAGTTGGTACTCCCAGTCGGTTCCCACGAGATCTTCTCCGGAGGCTGAAACGTAGTCCGATGTGTCGTGATGGGAGATCGGATTTGGAGAGGATCTGGGAGAAGGGGAGGTTTTTCCACCCTCTGCGGGGTTCGGTGTGGAGGGAACATCCTGAGGGGATGGCAATACGGAGGACAGAGTGGTAGAGACTCGCTGCAGAAGAATATCTGTGTCTGAAAGCGTCTCGTCTTTATCTGAAAAATGAGAAAATCCGGAAATTCCATTAATCGAAATTTTCTTGCTTGGATATAGGGGAAATCCTAGCCGAAGGGGACTTTCTTTGCTGCTGATTAAATCACTAGCAAAAAAAGGTCCTTTGATGTCTCCGCCGAACATGAATAATTTATGAGATCCATTGATCTTTAATAATAATGAAAAAATTCAACTCATCTCACTTTAATTATTCACTACTGAACTGAAAATTATTGACTTCCAAGTACTTAGGTATTTTCTAATTTTTCGAAACTAGACTTATGAAAGATTATGACTTTTTGTTAGAAAGTCCATTAATGTTTTTATGATAAAACGGTCTCGTAAAAGCCGAGGTGAAGAGTGAGAATGCCTGGCACCGAAAATGAGAACGTTCCAATTTCAAATTAAAAAATGACCCCAATTACATTCAATCGGATGACGATTGTCATTCAGAGGAATTGGAAACGGAATTTTCACAAGTGTTTCGTCATGTCGCTTGACCGTTAAATTCTTCAGATTGATAAATTCATTACCGAAGCCGAATATTCCAAAATAATGATGAACATAATAAAATTATTTTTACAAAAAGGAGAAATTCTTAAAGTAATTGGATTCTTAAAAATATCTAAATGACTGCATTCTCAAGAACACTCACTCTCAATGACTCACAAGTGCAATAAAACAGTGATGAGAACTCAGTGATGAAAAAATTCACACAAAAATGAGTAAAGAATTGTTAGTAATTGGATTTGGCATGCACCTGGTTTTCCCAGCCCCAGGGAGTGCTGTCCTGCGAGATTAGTGCCATGTGTTATAAACGCCGGATACTCCAGCTCGTGTGTTTGATTCTTCAGAATTTTTCCATCTTCCCTGGATTTTCCATTTTCCTCATCGCTCCCATTGAGAATTCCCCCAGTGAAATTCGGATTGAATGCACAATTGAAATTATCTGGATGTGAATTGGTGGGTCTTGAGTTCCTCTCGAGTCCCCTCGTAACATTAAAATCACCAAAGGAGGACTGACTCCTGAATACCCTGGACTTATTAGTTTTCCTCTCGACTTTCTCCACCAGTTTGTCGTCAGCTGTGGCAAGGATCTGATTATTCTCCAGTATTTTCTCCACTGCATCCTCTATTTTCGGAGATATCTCTGGAGATGTCAGGTGACAGCACTTGGGAATCGTAGATATCACTGTGCAGGATCTCCCTGAAGCCGAAGAGCTGTTGCCATCTGAGTCTTCAGGGTCAGTATCCAGTTCTCCTCTCAGTGAATCGTCTAAAACCCTGAGGGCCGTCTCGTTTTCCACTTCTGCCTTATAAATTTCCTCCAGAAGGTCTTCCTGGGTATTTTCCTCTGGAACCGGCTGATCGTCTACTCTCGACGATGAGTCGGGACTGCAACCATCAATTTGTGATTCTTGACTGACATCTTCACTCTTTTGAAGAATTTTCTCTCTTGCGTTTGTCAGTATGGCTGGGTTTATTTGCTCTTCGATTGTATCAACTTCGGGATTAACTGCTCCAGTGGGCGTACGCTCTGGGGAACTATCTACTTTGTCGGTTGATACTGATGACTCGACAGGATTAACTCTACGCTCTGGTACTTTTGGAGGCACTTTACGAGGTTTGGGAATGGGTCGTGACTCATCAACTGTACAAGAGAAAAAATGATACCATCACCGTGGGGTCATTACAGGCTGGGTGGGTGCACGTGCGGGTTCAAGCTCTGGCCGATGTGATAATTGAATTTTTTAAATGGGCCTGGGGGTGTGGAAGCGTGGGTGAAACGATGGACCTTTTCTATTTTTTAGCTCATCTCAATTCACTACTTTTCAGCTGAATAAGCTTTAACTAATCACTAGATTAAAATTTTCTACCACAACTTGTCTCAAACGAACTCCCCAGTTCTACTCTCGAGAATTTCATTTAATTGACTGAGAAATTTTCCCCAGTTCTCCATTGATTCCTTTCGACTCACCAAACCCGGTGGTGGAGGCTCCAAAATACTCACCCTTTTCTCCCCCCGGGTCCCACCACCTTTGAATTCTCCCTGTCCAAGAATTGGCAGCTCCGGCAATTCATTGATATCACTGGGGAGGGAATCGAGGGCAGGTACCTGTATATCCACCGGTTTTTTTGAAATAGCGAAAATCTGGAGTTTGCTGAGAGGAGGGGGCGACGTGTTCGCAGGCTCGAGCAGCTGAGTCGAAGGAATCGGCTGCTCATGACAGTGTGTCGTCCTGAGGGCCCCCATCCTCACACTCAGCCTCGTTGCCTCCCCCCGCGGGCTCTTCCTCTCGCAGAAGCTGTTAGAATTCGATCGGCCCTTTCGCAACACAATTCCCTCCCGGGGATCATCGACTTCCGGTAGATTCCAGCTAACAATTCGTCGAATTATTCCAGAATTTTCTTTATCAATAGCATTATCAGTTAAATCCCGAGTTTCGCGAACGCTCTTCCCTGGATTTCCCGATAAAATTGGTGACGACAGTATTTTTTTCTCAGACTTTCGATTAAAAGGTTTCCACAAATGATTAATTGTACACCTGGAACTAAAAATTTTAGGAAACATCCGGGTTTCTCGGCTTTTCTTTCCAGATTTTTCGACTGGAATTCCCCTGGGAATTCCCAGGTCTAGAGACTGGAAGACCTGATTTTTTTCGGAAATTCTCAGGCTAAAAGTTTTTAATACTCGATTTTTCCGAAGGTCGTTAGAATCACGTGGTAAATTCATGAGGTTTTCGGGATTTTTATTGGATTGCAGTTGGAAAATCGTTTCACCCACTAGTGGTGGCATTCCATACCCCCTCTGAGGTCTATAGAGACCCCCATGCGAAAAACTACTAGAACAACGAACTAGCTTACCTCTTTTGGCTATTCTAGCAGATTCTACATTGTGCAGCGGATCGGAAATGCGGGACTTTCTACTATCAGACACTTGGCACGTCTTCTCCTCGTCCTCAGGCGTGACTTTCGCACTGTGGGTTTCGGGCTTGTGGTAGAAATCGCCAGGTGTGCGACTGCCAACGGCTATATCTGAATTTGCCTTTGAACTCGTCTCGATATCTGATGAAGGTTTTGATATACCCATGTCTGACGTTAAAGACTCTTCAGAGTCAACAATGCGTTCCAGTGCTTGAGTTGAGATCGCAGAGGACAGGGGACGATTGAGAGGAGGTGGTGGAGCCGCTCGCTTCTTCCGTACACCTGAAAGATAATGATTTCTGGTCCAGATCTTGAATCCATTGAAGCTAAAGCCAAAGGAAAAATACCCTAAATAAATAAAATAACTCACCAGTTGAGCTGAGTGATGTATTGCTAGTTGCGTGACTCAAAGATGCTGAGGTCAGAGCAAGATTGCTGAGACTCTTGCTTGCCTGAGACGTGTGTGCGAGTTTACGTATTTCAAATTTACCAGGTGGTTTGCTTCGCCTTGGCAGTGTCTCCGGCATTCTCGCCGCAGAATCCGGATTATCACTGAGTACAGATGCCTCATGATAACCAGAGCTGTCACTGCTGTTACGACTGTGACTAATAACGAGTTTCTCTTTGTTTCCATCTTTGGGATGGTCATTATTGTTATTCTGCATTGTGGTTTTAACTGGTGGATTGGGGGCGGGTCGTCGTTTACGTTGAGGTCTGGTTGGTGGTGCCAATGGGCTGACAGACCTCGCAGTCTCATCACTGTGGGCTGGTGATACAGACCTCCCACCAAGACTATCTGTACTCACAGATGACTCCTTTGATTTTCTGAACATAAATCCAAAGACACTCTTTGCCTGCTGACGGCGTCTGTCCTCTTGTCGCTGAAGTGCCATTATATCCTGCGAGCTCAACGCAGACCCCAGGATCTGCCCCTGTTTTGCATACAATGTTACCTCCTGGAGGTGATAATCTTGTAGTGACAGGGATAGGTCCAGTACCTCCTGATGATTTCCTGAAATTATTCCAATGAATTTCTTCAATCACTCAGAAAAATTCTCATCAGAATAGGGAGACGAAATTTACGAAATATTTGGACACTTCCTCTAGGAGGAAAGGTGCCGTCTGCAGCATCAAACAAATGAGATTTGCCGTATGGAGGGGCTTCCGAAGCCTCACGAACTCCAGACGAGGGGGAAGACAGCCTGAAAGCCTTCGAATCGGTAATAACCCCTGTCACACATGTGATGAACGTTAAACAACCGTTTTGCCGAATGACCATGCGAAACAGGTGAAACTATTATTATTATTATTATTATTATTATTATTATTATTGTTATTATTGCGCCTATCCACTGGTGGAGAAGAAAAAATAAATAAAATGCGGAACTAATCGTTAGGAGAAAATAGAAATCGCCGTAAAATGATGCGTCTCCGGACGTGTCGCTAGAATTTAATGACTATCGGCACATTTTCGCGTGCCATTCGCACCTGAAAAATAAACGACCAACAGGTGATAACTGAGGTGACAGTCATCATTATTATGGGAATAATTTTATATTGATGCGATTATGTGAGAAGATTTAATTAGATGGAAAACAGTTAAAGATTACTATTGCATAGCCAACTTTCTACTCTGGACGTTTTGCATTTATGTAATTAACCTCGTCCTCCAATTCTTATATTATTTGCTTATTCATTCACTTGTTTATTAAATCCATTTCTATGTTATTTCGAAAGAAATAAATATTTAACGGAACTGAAAAATTCAGCTGCAATTTACCACTTCGCAATTGAATAATTCCCTCGCAAACAAAAATTCCTGGACATCAAAATCCGCCGGAAATTGCAGAAAAAACAATTACCCCCCCAAATTCATCCCCTCCCCCGCATTATGACCCACTACAACCGGCAGTAATGTCCCACCGGGAGTAAAATCGCTCCCATAACAAGATAATTACGGACAATAAGACGTGAAAAAAGAAAAACAACTCACAACTTCCAAGATTGAATGAAGAGTGCAGGTTTCGCAATTCCACTGGTTGCCACTGCCAGGTGGCAATTCCCCTGATTGCATAAATCTCACGTAATTGCAAGCGATCAAATATGAAACACTCCAACGGCGAATGATTTCCGCAATTGACAAAAATTTCCCCGTAAATCAAATCAACTTCACGCACTGTCTCTCAAACGACTGTTCAAGGTTGATTTTTTTACTCACCCAGTTAATGAAAAAATAATAAATCCGTTTGAATCAATTCAGCCTGATAATGATGAATTATGAGTGATGGAAAATTTATTTAAAAAAATTAAAAATGGGGGAGAGAAAATCCGTGGTGTACGGGCATCCGTACGGACGCACGCGCGGCAACTGGCAACAGCCGCAAGTACCAGAGAATCTTTCGAGATTGACCGCATACCGGTTCTCCTCATTCCATCCTGCGTTTCACAGTCCACCATCGGACTCCGAGGACGCGAAAAATTATTTCCAATAATCTTTCCTTTATATTTTTATTACCACCGGCATTCCCCACCCCCCAGTTGCGCCAACCGCAAGAAGTACTTGACATTCACACAATTTTCCGATAATCTCCACCGACACCAGGACCTATCAAAGAATTTCAGGTTGTCTCCAGTAAATTCACGGCAATCATTGAGTCATTCCACTTTTTTTTTCATCATTTTTTGAGAACTTGTTGATTATAGATAATTTATTCATGATTAAAAACATTTTTTCCCTCCCTCTGGGAGAAATCAGGCAATATGTAATTACGATTATCAGCGTTGATGGTATGGAAATTAACTGGAATTTATTGGAGTGACAGAATTGAAATGGATAGACTAGCTCATTCATTTCATCTCGTTTTATTCAATTTTCACCGTCAAATTGGATTCGTGGCGGTATTCATTATCTCCAGCGACAAATTGTTGATGATAATTAGATCTTGAATGAGAATAATTTGTCATGCGAGACTATTTGACTAGATTGCCCACCCCTGTTGAATATTTTACGATAATATCACGACATGGAGAAATTTCTAATAGAAAATCAAATCAATTTTTCTCCAAAAAATTATTCTCTCTGATTAAAAAAATCGTTGTCCATCCCAGTTACTTAATACCTTCAGTCACCAAGCCTCCCTTTATTATATATAAATCACGTATAGCCCATATCTCTTCAAAGCTCACAAAGTTTTCCAATGGTTCAAATTTCATCCATTTATCTCTATGCAAATCCAAGTTACGACTATTTGAATGTCATGAAACATGAAGTCGATATGTCACTTGTTAGGATTGCTCCAAGAGATTAATCTTTTTGGTCGAAGGATACCGAATATATGATTACAGATAATAAAAATGATTCTTAATATAACGCATGCCTCCCGCGGGCGCCTCTAATATTGCTCTATTTTTTGAAAATAGGGGAAGAATTAATTAAGATGATTTAAGATGAATTAAGATGAATTAAGAGGGTGAATAAATTGGGTTTAAATTAAGTTGGGATAAAATGGAGATGTGTTATCGTTGATTTCATCTGGGATTTCGTGAAAATTGAGGAAGAATCGATGCAATATCCCTAAACACCCGGAATAATTTAGTTTCACACGAGATCACACGATTGAGAGGCCTTTAATTAGCTTACAGTGGAAGTGCAGTGTTGCAACAGAGATTTTTTTTCTCGTGGATACGTCCAAGTGAGTATCCCCGATGCATTGGTACAAACGTCTCGCATTGCTTGGCAGCTGGAGGCTAAATTACGACACAAGTGACCAACTTCCCTGGGCTCTTTCGAGCCCCCAAAAGCGCACTTTCCCGAATTTTATTCGTCCAGATGCGCATGAACACCAGAAACTCGGATCAATTTTTTCTTATGATTTTATTCAATAATTCATCTGATTTCATCACGCTTCCGTTAGAGATCATTGTGCCTTACCTGGATGTCGAAGCTCATATTTGTTTCTGTCCAGATTTTTCTCTCTGCACACCTCCTCAAGAATTTCCCTCAGATTCATCTTGGGACTCACTCGCGACACGTACAACTGATTTCTCGGCAAATGCACCTGTAATTTAATTTTACGACTTTTCACACGTGCTCTCAAATGAAAATAAAATATTCGTCGGTTTTCACTTGCAATTCACAACAAAAACGAATCCCGAAGAATTTCTCAAATATTCAGATACTGCGTCGGCGTTAAAAAAATTTGATAAAAAAGTAAAAGAACTTGAAATTTTGAAGAAAGAAAAATTGAATGAAATTCTACAAATAAAATTGCTCTCGTGGCAGATACTCAAGAAAAATCCCATAAATTTATCAGAAAGCTTCTCTTCACTGATAATTTCAATTGATTCTGTCGAATGAATAATATCGGTGATTTGGCACACACCTGCAATCTGAAAGTCGTTTCAAACGGTTGATTCGGCTGTTTGGCTTTCCGTGGAACAAATGTACCCTGTTTCGGTAGCAATTTAACCTTGAAAAAATAACAAAACATTATAGACCGATAAATGGAGAACAGGAGATGAGAGATGTTAAGTAAATTCATGAGGATAAGTTGAGTGCGTGAAAATTTTTACAAGAAAATTTCTCTACGTTTCATAAAATTAATAAAATATTGTTAAAATAGAAATCATAAGGAAGAAGTAAAGCGGAAAGGAGAGAGCGAGAAAAATCACAAGAATACATTGACAATTATTATATTTTAATAAAATTAAGTAAGTTATTAATTAAGATAAAATTAAGTTTTCTAGGTGTGGACGAAAGTATGGACCCCGAAAATGCGAAGGGGCTTGAATGAAACCGGAAACATTTAGCCTTATCTTAATAAATAAATTAAATTAAAAAAAAAATGTATTCATTAATTTTCTTCTCTCTCTCTCTCTCTCACATCCGGTCTAACACTGGGGCGAAAACGGAAACGAGTTAAAATAAATAAAAATTAATCGACACCTTTGTGACGTAACAAGCGATTTCTATCCGCCACTGGGGAAAAATCAGTGGTCGATGGAGAGGAGAGGGGTAAAAAATGATGTACAACTGATGAAAAATACCTGAAGAGCATCCAATGCTCCAATGGGAGTGTTTGGCTGATGGGGCAGAACAAGTCCACGTTCTCCTATAGCTTGCAGGGTGTAACTCGAGGCTGCCAATTTGTGGGCCGTTGCTATTTGCACCAGCAGATCCATCATTGCAGTACTGGAATACAAAAAAAAAAATTCCTGACCTTGAGTGGAATGATTAAAGTACTCGCGAGTGAGTTTTTTTTTGATATTCTGCATTCCTCAGATTTACCGTCGACTTTTCAAAATAATTTCATTATTTACGTGCATGAATAATGAATGGATAATAATATCCAGGTCTCCGAGGCAGGTGTCCTTGAGTGAGAAATTATCATCGGAGAAAGTCATTCATCTATTTGCAGGGTAATTTCGAGGCAAAAATTCACTGAGATTCAGGTTTTATTTATTTTTTTTTTCTAACATAAATCGGCCTGCTTCGACAATTTTTTCTCTCCCATTTTTCAATGTAAAATTGTTTGTGAAAATTGAAAGTTTTTGCACTGTGTGCATTGATGGCTAGAGTTCAACTGCTCCTTGCATTTTCAATGAGAAAAATAGAAATTTCGCGAGGAAAGAGTTTATTTGAATGAACTCCTCGCTTCACACCCATTGTTAGTGCATTTTTTTCTGGACAATAAAAATAAAAAGGGCACGGGAAGCCCCAGATGGTACGCATGACTAGATATCGAATGATCGAAATATCCTGAGAGGTGTACACGGTGTAGTCACGGTTCCTCGCGCAATGTATTTTTTTTTCATCTTTTTTTCATCACTTGTGGAGAGGAACATCATCTAGTTGTAACTGCCTCACGTCTCATAAATAATATCGCATTGACATTGGAACAACACCTCTTAAGAATATAAATAAATTATAAATTATAAATGGAGTGCAGAGATCTTCGAGCTTTTGATGCATTTTTTTTCTTCAAAATGAGAGGAAGAAATACCACCGAGAATTGCAAAAGGTAATCTTCACGAATAGATTAAGGCCGATGGATGAAATTATTCCAATTTCTCCAGGTGAGGAAAAAAAAAGTGAAAATGATCGATATGCAAAAAAAAATGAGAAAATAGAGCACTTGTTACGTTGAGAAATTTAATTGGCGAATTGAATTGGAATTCCCTCGATTCCATGCTACCTCTTGACAGCTGGCTCGATCGAATTGAAAGTGCATGCATGGTGATGGTACAGAAAACATGTATTATCATGTGTAATACACGCGCATAAATGACTCGACGGGTGATCGGTGGGAATTTTAAAGGCAAATAAAACTCGGATGCTGGTAAAACCGTGGACCCAGGGAGTGAGTTTTACTCTGATTGCGCAATGAATCTAATGTGCGTGCCACATTACATATTGCGAAGGGATGATCAAGACTTGCGGCTACCGAAAGTCATTTTAGATTTTTATTTATTCCAGTACCTACTCCGATCATGACTTCATATTAAAAATTATCCCCCTCCCCCTCTCCCCTTAAAAATTTATTTCTGATATCGTCTTATTTATATAATAATAATATCTATAAAAAATAAAAAAGAGAAGAATAAATTAAATTAATGAAATAAAACCGCATTAAGAAAAATAATGAGGAATAATTAAAAATATCATTACGATCCAATTTATTTCAGTTGAAAACATGGCTGGGCGTAACAATTCCCCGAAGTATCAATATGTGAAAATATTTGCGGACGATTACAAAATTTTTACATAACCGCGTGGCCTCATAATTTCCCTACTTGCACAAGTGAATCGATCACTGACTGGTGAAAAATTCGAAAAAATCGAAAAAATCGACTCCAAAGTGCATCGAATTCAAATGAAAACAGAAAAACTAATCGCGATGATCAATCATTGGTAGAAATAAAAAACCCCCACGATGTTTAATGAATGTTTCCTTGATGATGATTTACCTTCGTTCGACCGTGACTCTCTGCGAGTGAACATGATGGTCCCTCGGTAATTGGACCAGTAGCTCCATGCTTCCAGTGAGCATGTCTGCTGGTGTATCTTCAGTTACAGTAAGTACCATCGTGGTACTCTTCTCCTCTCTACTCCTGGAAATTAACGATAAATACTATTTAAATAATCATGACAACACAATTGACGATTAAATCAGAGTGAAGTAACATCGCGGTTATAAATTTCCGACAAAATCGGTAATAAAGTATGATAATTATCATGACGCACATGAGAAACAAATCGATGTCATTAGATCGATTCGAGGGGACAGCAGACCCGATCGATTAATCGTGTCACAATCGTGATTTGACAAATTCAATAGTCCCCACGAGAAACATTGCATTTATAACAGTCAACCGTGACCCTCTTTTCGTCGTGCGTTCGCCATTGAGTTATCATATTGGAGTGCTATTATTACATAATTAAATCACGGAGTGAGTGAGTGTTGAATACAAATGAGGCGTGATCGGCACGAAATTCCTGATGGGGCAACGAAAAATTGAGACTTTCCAAGGAAGAGCATTTAATCTATTGTTCGTAACTGGTACTTATCTAAAGTTCTGAGGCGTAGATAAGAGTAATTCAAATAAAGATTGCGTACAGACGAAAAGGATGGAAAGCAGATATTTGTATTTAGGAGAATCGCTTTGAAAATTCCGGTGTCGATTATTTTTCGTCACAATGGCGTATGGCTTAGTGAATTTCTGGAGAATTAAATGACTGAAAATAAAAATGGTTTTTTCAGTGATCATCTAGTGGAAACGTACATAATCATCATCGAGTTGGAATCGCGTGTGAAGAAACTTCTCGTGTAGTTTTCCAAGTGTACAACAAAGTAAGGAGTAGGCAATGCGAACGGAAGTCCGCCTCGGTGATGAGCGAAGGTCGATTATTTCGAGTTTTTCATTGCTTCATATTAATCCACCGATACTAACCACAAGTATTACCCTCATTACCCCCTCCGATAGATCCATGAGGTACGAATAAAAAAATTGCAGATATAAAAATAAATTGCACGTTGAAAAATAAAACAGACGACCGAAAAGCAACATTTTGCGGGAAGATCGTGGGGACAAAAAAGTTGGATAAAAGGGCGAGAGAAACCAAAGGCGATTTAACCGAGCGCAAAAGCTGTGGAGGAATTGTCGAAGCGTGACTTCCATCAACTCTTTCCCCTGAAATCCTAGACTTTCAGAATATAAAACTATTCGTCTCTCTCAAATATCATCAGAGACAAATTGTCTGGAAAAATTCTAGTATTCTCAGAAAATCAATTTTCGCGTTAAATAAATTCATGAGACTGAATGTCAATTGATAGAAATTTTTTGTCTGTAAAATTGTTGAATCCGTGGGTGTCAATTTTTTATCGTTAAAAATCTGGATCTAACTATTTTACCATGTCGATCATTATCGTCCCATTACCTGTCATTACCTATTATCAAAGCTGATAAGAAATATCGGGTCAGACATTCGTGGAAATTTTTCCCTTAAAAATCAATGGGGGAATCGGGCAACGAACAATATCTCGGTACCGAAATGATTGTGCGAAAGTCGGGGATAGGAAATCGTGCGAAAATCTTAACGTCTTTATCTATAGACACGTATGCGTGGAGAGGACCTGGAGGTGCGGGAGGAGGAACAAAGACCTCCCGTTACGTAAATCTTCCCCCGGTCGCATCTTAAATACATCATGAGAAAGGCAATACCGAGTACATGCCCCAAAGATTCGTCCCCGGATTAACCGTTATGTCATTTAATTACGCGATATTCTGCACGATATAATTTACATATTACGTGCCCAACAAATTTTCCAAGTTCCATTCACTTTTTTTTATTATAAAATAATGAAAAAAATAGAAACTGTGCGGAGGAAAAAATGGAAAAATATTGGCTGACAATTCACGTAATTGGGAAACGAGATTTTAATTTTAATGATTTTTACATAAATTCAGGAAAGAGTGTACGACAAAAATAGATACTTCTTAATTCTATAAATTTCAAGGGGTGGGAATGCAATTTTCATGGGGTAATATTTATGAATTGCGGTGGACTAACGAGTGGTATGATAAATCCGCTTCACGTGTCCAGCAGTAATTTTAGCGTCATTTTAATGGTATTTTTTGTGAAATTTTTCTTTCTCCCCGCATTTACGCGGAATGTCATAGTAATCTGGTTATAATGGGAGTGTTCCATAAAAATGTTGATGGAAAACTTCAATGAATACTCGGTCTTTCGAAATGGCGAGCAGTTAAATGGTGAATAATAAATTTAAGGAGATGAGAAAAACTGAACGTTAAAATTCTTTCTGGAACAATGAGAGCGGTAATTTGCTAATGCGTGGCCTGCTGAAAGAGTCATAATGAACAATAAAGTGGATAATTGTCTCAACAAAATGCTTCATCTGAATTCTAAATCATTCGGATTTAAATGCAAATCCCTTGAATTTGCAAATGAAGACATCAAAGTTAAAATGCAAATATCCCATTAAATATCATGATATTTTAACCAGATATCCAAACAATTATTTCTCGGTACCATTGAAGTACGAAATCACGCGATATAATCCAGAATTCGCGAACAGATTGAAGTTTTCAGCGTTCCACATTGAATTATCGTTTTAATTAAAACGATAAAAATCCTTGATTGTAATTGGTCATTCAGAGATGATTGTCAAGTCGTTGGAAGTAGCTTGTTAAACCCGAATAATTCGAAGGAAATAAAAATCCCTGAAAGTATTCCAAGCCCTCCAAAGAATACGTGACCACTTGACATTGTCGTAAAACCTCTAACGACAGTCGAGAGATAATGAATAATTGATAATGTCTGTTCATATATGCTACAAATGGCCATGAAATTGACGCAACGTCGAGCGACCCTGCAGCTGACTGCCCCATTCCCTCGTAAACGTTCCATATGGTGAATAAATTGCAAGTACCCCCCCCCCCTCCCCCCACAGGTCTTTTTGCTCTGAATTTTTCCCCCACGCGGTTAGCAAAAAGTCAAATGTTATTTCAAGTACTTTCCCGAGGGCTGGGCTGTGGCGAAATGCCACTTCCGGGATAAAACGGATCCTATTATTTTTGCTCCAGTGGAAAAAGAGGATTGATCGGTAGACTAATTTACCCTACCTCTCCCTGGACATTTCAAGTACGCGTAACCCACCAACAATTTCAGTCTTAAAACGAGGGGGAAAAAAGGGGAGGTACTGGTTATAATGAGTGGGATGGAGACGAGGAGAGACTCGAGATCATCGGCTACCTCTAATCACAGGCTTGGTCTGATGGCTGCAACTTGTTGGATGTTAAGTTTACATTGAAGAACGCAACAACTCGGGAAGGTCGTCGCCGAGTAATTAATCATTTTAATCTCGGAAAAAATTACGTTTTAAGAATCATTCCAATGCGCGGGGAAAAATTCACAAGAAAATCAATCGCAACCTTCACTACCGCATTTGCTCTGAAGATTTTTTTTTCCACCCGAGCTAAAAATAGCAACTCTGTGGTCACCCTAAAACATCGTAAAAATAAAAATAAATCTGCGAGATTGATGAAGGGATCAATAAAAAATTCATGTGGAAATATTTGCCAGGCCAACAAGGCTGGACGAGATGAAAAGAAATTTACAGAAATCGAAATTGCGATAATTAGAGCAAAGAGAATTTCACAGAAGTATTCACGTATAAGGATTTCGAGGGGAGAATCTTTTTTCTCAGTATCATTGTTATAAAATAATGGGAAAAGGGTAATAAAAGTGATAAGAGAGATGCAGCCGAAGGTAAATTTGATAAGAGAGGATTTCCATTCTGTCACGACCACTGGTTCACGCAAGTTGTAATAAAGTAGTGGGGTCTCAGCTGGAGTAATATAACGGTAATTCTTCCGTATGTAGTGGAATTTACATTTACAATTTAGGAAGGTCGTGCATGTGTTCCTTCTCATCCATTCTTTCTATTCCCCCAGCAGTCCAACAAACAAAAAAATAAAAAAGGGATAGCATCACGAAGAGTATTATCGCGAGACTCAAATTAAATTCCTTGAACTTAATCTCTTAATCCATTTGTCATTGTCGTTATGATATCGAATTGAAGATTATTTTCATTCCCTATACCCCAGAGAAAATACAATGAGTCATATTATCACAAGTTTTATCATCTCTCGACCTGAATTCCATCCGTGGAATGCTATTGTACACGTTTGCTACTTATTTACCACAATATATTAATTGCGCACAATAAAATCATCAATTATCCCGTAAATTTGAAGAATTTTTTTGTGCCGAAAAGTATGGACTCGATAGGAAAATATCAAACAATCATCACAAAATTTTTTTATGATAGATTTTGGGAATAAAGTGAATTTAGAATGGTAATTTGATGTGCGAGCCGATGATCTCGATGTGGTGAAATTGATCGAAAGAAAAAGTGGAAAGTGACGTTGTGGGATGAATTGGCAACTAAACGACAACAATTGTCTCTGGGAAAAGTGGAGAACATCCGCAGTGGTCCCAGAGTGTGGGTAAAGAAAAATTGGCCGTGAAAGCTGGCATTGATACAGGTCTTGTTCAATACTCAACATATTAGCAGTAACCAGTAGTTTTCTCCAGCTACAATTTTCCAATCACGTTGACTATCAATTCATTGTCCAGATACTGTTTTAAATTCTGGTCGATTCCAGGTATTTCGTTACGTCAGATTTTATCGAGGAAGAAACAGGGCGAGAGAAATTTATTGGGGGAATTCATTAGGACATTATTCAATACACAGATTATGTCACTCCGGTTTGATAGGTCGCTCCGAAGAAAATGACATTCTTTCCGAGTTACTTAACCCACTGAAAATTACGGCAATTGAATCACTTGGTGAAATAATTCACCTGTCGATTGAGTTTTTTTTTTCTGGCAATTAATGGCAAATAATGGCAATTAATAGTAATTAATGGCGTTTGCTACCGATAATGCATCAATCTTGTACAATTTTATGAGGCTAGAGGAAATAATCCCCATCATTGAAGGGCTTGATCTGAAGCTTCAGAAATTAAAAGAATAATTTTAATCTCCAGTGCTGGTAACAGGTATACTATCAGCTCCATGTGTATGATTAACATTAATCCAAGTTGATCACGTTTTCTCTGTTTCTAAAACTCAGTGCAGTTGTACACACATCATGCGGAAGCCTACTTAAAAGTGTTCTCTGTGATTAACCCACTTTTAAAGTTTTTTACTCCCTGTTTCATTCCTTTCTCCACCGTTGGAGATGTCTCAATGGACTTGAAATGTCTCCCGGTGCGTTACCCGTGCGAATAAAAATAAAACACCAATGCCTCCGGTAATATTTTCGGTTTAATTGCCTAATTAATTACCGAAGACATCTTTGATGAATAAATTCACTAGACACGCAGATAATAATGATTTATTTTCAGGTACTCCCATCATTCTAGGATTCTGTCTTAATGACTATTTGAAGATGAATATTTTTGTGATTGAGATTGAAAATTATTCATCAATGTTTTTATCGCCTTGTGAAGTGAATTATGAATTGCCGGGACGCGGTGACTTTCGGGTGAATTTATCGGTGCTTTGCACTAATTAATTGAAGAATTGATCAATGAATTTTGCTGTGAATTTTTTTTTTACGCTGTTATCACTGTAATAGCTCTAAATACCTCGACATTGCTCAATATTTCACCGAGAAAATGCCGACTCGTATTGAATCGACACAAGTAGTACATTAACACATTTAACATATCTGTATTATTCATTAAAGCCTGCGACAAGAGCTCACCGTGTGCGCGATCGTGATCGGCTAGGTAAACGATACAATACCCGATGAAGTCACTCATGTATTGCAACAAAATGTCTCCATGTACTCGAGTACTCGAGTAAAAGT